GATATACAACAAACGATGAGTTATCTCACAAGGATACATGCTGGTACGATTTAGTATGAAACCTGCCGAAAACAAAAGTGTGCAGAAGTTAAATCGCAATTTGAAAGTATAGTTTGAGTACTTTCACATCCTGGTTAAATTCTAAACTGATCAAAAACCTGATTTAAAAGGTGACAATCAGCATTGGTGCTATGCCAACTACATTCAGAAATGAAAGAGAAAAGCGAAACTTCCATTTGGAGACAAGTATGACATAAGGAACAGCGAAATCTTCCACAGCGACTATGCTACACAAAGCATGAATCCAGTAACGAAATTGGTAATGCTCCTGTCCTAGCTACCACCTTATCCGTCAGCTCAGCTTCAAACAACAACAATTCGGGTGCTGAAATTTGTGTAATGATCACAGTGTGCCAATTCGGTCCACAATTTGGTATTTCCATTAACAATTCTAACTAATGTATCATTTGACTATGAATACCTGACTCGGTACATCTCGATGCATAAACGACTTTGATGGGGGCATCCATACGCAGCCCCAGCACTGAAACTCCATTTGGGATAAGTCAAAGTCATTTGGCCGTTTCTGTTCACTTTTGGCCAAAACCCTCAATCTACCCACACAGAGACGTTTTTTTATCCTGCTTAGTCCATTCTCCCCTTCCGCCCCGATGGGTTGTCAAACTTTTCCTCTCCCCGTCTCCCCCCACTTGCGAGGAAATTTCAATTAACCTCGATTAATTTTAAACCAATCATCAGAGGAAGAAAAAAAACGTGTCAATGATTCACTTTGAAGAAGAGAGAAAAACTCGATTGTTGCAGAAGTGATAATGAAAGGGTTTTAATGAGCAACAGCCATCTTTGACTTAAGTGATGCGAATTTATTTAGTCCAGTAAACCTAATCCCTTAAAAGCGGTGAGCATAAAATTCGCCACTTAGTTTTCAGATATCAGTCAACTTCATATCTTTGTAAAAGCACAAGAATTTTTCCATCATATCCGGTTGAGAGCCATCCAGTAAACAAGTCGGCGCTCATTTTATCCACTTTAATGGTCTTGAGGAATTGGCTAAATGCCGAATAGGTGGAAAGTCGGAACAGATGCTTAAAGGAAAATTGACTCCAATTTACAAATTACTTAAGTTTGAATAGACCAATTCCCCTGAAATTGCCTATTTTGCCCAAGCTACTAAATGCAAATCACAAGAGGGGAATTCCGTTTGCGCCGTTTCTGGTTGACTGACCAGGGCGGTATGCAGCGGCTAGGAAAGAGCACCACAGATGCTTGCCTTATTTTGAAGTTAACAAGACAGAAAGGCAGTTGGATAACTGGAAACAGCGAGAACGCAAAATCTTGCGGAACGAAGGGTAGCATTCAATGCACATCAACGCGTGAGGTTGGGTCTATGAATAATTAAAAAGTAAATTAGGTTTTAGAGAGTATGTTGCAGAATCGGTTAGTGGGGCATTTGAATTAATTTGAGCCGGAATCTATCGGGGCGCATCGGGGTTGCCATTAGTTGCCAGAATGACTACTGGGTCACAACTTGCCAGATTTCTCCCCTATTTTGCAATATTCCAATAGATAACAGAAAAATCAGGTTTGTTACGTTATTAATTGAGTGATTTACCATTCTCACTGGCTGGTAAGTAGTTTCTCAGTAGCAAGTAAAACGTATTCCCGTAACTCTGACCAGGGTATCCCGAACCTACTTTTAACAAACTTCCTCCTTTGGATGATCAGTTTTGAGGCCGCAGACGGAAATTTGAGGCCCCCTAGTCTAAATTTTACTTCATTCCTTTTACATGACTATACGATAGGTATGATTTGCAAAGCGAATGCGCTTCCAGAAGTGATTAACTTTGTATTTCCGCTGACCGACCTAAGCAACCCCACATTTCAGCAATTGTTATCCCTCTACTGCACTATCTAAGCGGGATCTTGGTTCCTCTGTCAGGCCGGGGCACTGAGTAAATTGGAAGAGCTCGATATGATACCTTAAAATCATACGGCCGTTCTGGAGCCGCCAGATTAGCAGTAAACGCCCTTCCCCGAGTCAATAAGACATTTGACAACTGACGCTATGACATTCTGCAAATTGTCACAGTATGCTACAGCTCACCAAGAACTGAGAAAAACCAATTTCTAAGATCACTCCAAGATCCGCCATACGCCTACACTCCTTTATCCAAAGAAGAAGGGTAAATGCAAATTACCCACTTAAGTCAGCTTCATCTACTTGAGGTTACAAGTGATTTAAAATGCTGTTGAACAAATTTTCCTTGGGCAAAGTTATTTTTGAAAGGCTTTTGAAAGCTTTGTAGTCAGAAGGTTAGGAAGCCACGCCACGTCAGGCTGGGCTGGGCTAGGCTTGACAACAGAGAGGCAATCGACAGAATCAAAATTTGAAAATTACTGGCACAGACAGGCGGATGGGACGTAAGCAATTAAGCTAAAACCCCCTTTTTGATAACCATGTCTGCTCAACGTCACAAAGCCTCTCCTTTTAATGGCTATCCCCTCATCCCACTCGTCCAACGAAGACGCACTATTCCTTCCTCACCGTTAGAGCGGATAACGGAATACAGTAACTTTGGCCACTTCATGGACTAGTCAGTACGCATTAACGAATCCTCCTTCTACTCACAGCAACCACGACAGCAATTTAGTTCAACAATCCCTGCCTCTGTACGCTTTGTGATGACATTATTTCTGAGTGACATTAACCGTCAACTGACAAGTGAAATCTTCACGACAGTCCACTTTACCCATGGCGCCTATGGGTGGGTAAGAGAATGCTTTTCAATAGTAATTTTTGACATCTATAATAAAACGACTGCCTTGATTGGAGCCTTACTAAGCAGGATTGAACAAAGCTATCTTTAAAGACAAAAATAATAACCAAAGGATTTTCGTGGGGAAAAACTTGGGGATACACAGTTTGTGTGATGCCGTTCAAGCAGAATCGCCTGAGGAATTATGGCAAGCCTCCAAGAAATCATGAGTACTCGCATTATAACTACTTTGTCTCGAATTTATAAACAGTTTGCAGAAAACTCGTAAGCGATAAGCCCATTGGAGTTGATGTTAAACTTCATTTATGACACTCTTTGCTCCTCACCCCGGATCCATGGGACAAGCCTGGGGGATAGCCCCGATTGTTAATGAATGCGGTTGCTACAGCAGGGATTCCACAAACTATATTAAGTGTAAGCAACAGTGACAGTTAGCCGAGTAGTCTAATTAAAAGTCCCACCTAAAAAATAATTAAGCCTAGTCAATGGTTGGTAGCGATGACACCTCGCTTTATAAGTAAACAGGGAGGTTAATTTTGCTGGAAGACACTTCAGATAAGTTACTAACAGCAACCACATATCAGTAAATAAGTTACGTATCAAGTTTTTAAAAGCCGCTATTTGTTTTACACAATCGCAGTTGGCTGCAGACTTAAGTTCCGGGTGCTGTGGATTGGCCAGTCTGCAAGGTCTCAAAGCGACTCTCTATGACGGCAAAATGAAACAAGAAATTCAGCATGCACCAGATGCATCACCACGAATGAGCCTCCTTAGTATATTATCTAAACAGACAAAAGAAGTAATGGTGAATGAAGAGCGTCAAATTGAAGGCGCATAAAACTGAAATTTAGTGGAATCGTTTAGGTTCAAAAGAATTTGCCGTACGAATTCTGTGCACACACCGCCACATACAGCCAAGCTCCATGCGTCTTCATGCGCCCTACAATGCCTTCAAGGAAGACTAGCGCTACATTGGTGACAAAGATGCATAACAAGCTTGATTTCGCTGGCTAGATACCAAAGGAAACTACCTACTGTGGGTGGCTGAATCTGCCAAGCCTGAAGTACCCATATAGATAAACGTGCGGCCTCAACAAGTTCCGTCCTCTAGTAACTTGACCTCCTTATTTTCCTCAAATGGAAAGCATAAGTTTTTATATCGGTGATTACTAAGCTTCATCAACGAACAAACGTAAAATTCGTATGCAGTTGCTTCAAAGCCTTGTGTAGAACCGCCAAGACGGTGATCATTTATCATGATAGCCACGGCTAGAGTTGGTGGAAAGGCTGCTTAAGACGGTATAGACTGCTGAATGAGCCATCTTGATAAAGAATTGTCATAAAATTGACAAAAATCACCGGTTAATGGAGAAGAAAAGTAGCCACCGAAATACAAGGTCCCTAGTACGCTGTTGCGAGACTGTCTTAGACAGACCACCCTGTCTCTCATCCACGGCCACAACCGCAGCCAGATGGAATTGCCTTTGATCAAATCAAGTGCACCAGAGGCGAAAATCAGCAAGGCGTCAGTTAAAGTAAAGCGCGTACCCTCCTCCTCCCTTAAAATACATATAACCTCGTGAAACTTAAGCTTCATCCACTTTAGAGCAGTTTTTACCTAGTTTCCTGACGCAGGGATAGGAGAGAACTGGTCATCTTGCTTCAGCGTAGTGGCAGATCGTAGTGTCTGGCTGACAATATGCTACACTACTTATAACTTGAAACTCGCACATAAGTAGCACCTTCAAGTTGGCTTCGTCTTGACTTGCTGTAGATCTGCGTTTGACAATACAAACGGCAAGACCGCGAGACTTCTACCTAACTTCATTCGATCTCCACATTATTCAGATTTGCCTTATTAGAACTCGCTTATTCTAATAACAAAGAATAGCCGAAATATGTGAGCTCGTGCCTCCTTTCGAAATACAGATGGGTAACTGAGTATCCACCAAATAACTTTGCACACCGAGTTCCACAACTTACTTCCTAAAAGTTCAGTTTTAATAGGAGAGTCTTAGCGCGAAACTCACTACTCACTTCACAGACCTTATAATTTTTTCTAACTTACTGCTACTAGGTCCAAACTTCTGTTGGAGAATCTTGTTGCACTAAAACTATTTCAAAATTGAATGCTCCTGAGGTCTTATATACACCGTTTATGCTAGATCCATACTTTTAAGCACTTCACAAGCCAAGGAGGGCTCACCGGGCATAACTCGGCTGCACCGGACTAAACGTCTGCATCCTCTGCTCCGTAGAGTTGCACCACGAGTAGACCGCAGCACTGCCGCCATTGGCACCTCGAAATTGATTCGCCTGCCCAAAATATGTCGCCTCAGGGCAGCCTTCATTAACCAGGCACAGTGATAAAGGCGGGTAGCCACCATGGGTCACGCGTCCCAAGCTAGAAAATCGGTCGCATGTGGTCAACGAGGAGGCATCGTTGATTGACCTCTGATCTGTGTACAGAGAATTTTCAATTGGGGCCACCATATTGGAGTTGTGAAAGGCCTTGTCCACTGTAGCCTCATAGAATGCGTTCATCTGCAGGTGGCCTGGAGAAGACATAAATACCTCTAAAATTAAAAAAAAAGCAGGTAGAAAACCAATTTAATAATCATTGATGCCCAAGAGACGGCAGGGTGTCTTGTAGTTCAAGAAGGCGGTAACACTGAAAATGATTCACTTGGATCAGTATAAAGAGAAGTTCTCGGGAAAATCTTACTGCAGTCTTGTTTAAGCATCGGGAAAAGTCCTGTCGATTATTTTATGGATACCAACTGAGCATGGATAATACCTGTGTTCTTAAGGTCAGGCCAAAATAAACTCGGTTGAGAGACCGGAAATCGAAATGGCACCTTGACAACAGCACACAAAGAAAGCATTTCTCATTACATCTAGTTCAATCCGCTGGCTTATTTTATTTAGAGCTTTACATGACATAAATGCTTTAGGAATGTGGAAAAAAGTATTTGAAAGTATTTTACTGAGCATACCATCGGACGGGGGACATTGTAGTGGGCTTCCTTTTTCCAAGGCATACGAGGCCGATTCCGCATTTGTCATGTAGTCTGCACCATTAGCGAATCCCATGGGAGTGGAATGAGTGGGTAATTGACTGCTACCAGGCGTATAGAAGCTCACCGCCTCAACAGTATTCATCTGAGCTCCCTTAACGTGAGCAGGAAATGGACAGCAATAACGCAACCGGTAGCCCTTAGACATTAAAAAGATAGCTACGACGAGCACTACAAAAGCTATTGAGACTCCAAAGGCAATAATGATGATTAAGTAGATGTTGGTAAGCGCCTCCCGACTTTCGCCCATTTGACCGCTGAAGACTGAGTCACCCATGTAGCCAAGGGCGGAGGTGGGCGGTAGAGAGGGATCCAGGTAAACAATCAAGCTGAAGGTGGAAGAACGAGGCGGGATCCCACCATCGGTGGCTTGAATCTGGAGGCGAAATCTCATCTGGAGAATTAAGACAAATGAGAGTACGTAACAAAAGTACTTAGCTTGATTATCTGCACTTATCTTTAAATAATTCCCTCCATATTAATCAGTTGATTACATAGAGCATTATTTATGTGACATAGAACCGAGCCCACGTCCTAAAACCTGTACCCATGCATTTATGACATAATATCCAGCAATTAAACATGAAAGGTTCAAAGAAACTCGGAAGAGAGTTAAACTATAAGAGGAAGCGTCTTACCAAACCCTTATTTAAAACATTCAGACTTGAACTGACTTATCTTGTCCAAATTAACGTACGGTTGTAACTAACCCACACCGGAGACGGTAATAAAGCCGTATGGAGATTGGGTGATGAACGCGGAGATAAAAGTCCCGATGAGGGTAGCGGGATGAAAAGATAGTGTGCTTTTTTTCTCAACACAGCACAACAACCTTGAAGTATCTATCGCTCACTTCTATTTTACTTATCTCTTTCTCTCTCTCCCAGTCTTAACTATTTCAAGGTAGAGTACATCACCAAGTTCTCATTGACTTTTAGATTGTGTAATATACTTTCTTTAGAAAAGGATAATGCAGAACGGCACATGTTGCATTTGTTGTTAGGCCAGTAACTACTTGATGGTTGATAGTTGTGAGGACACTTGGATAGTTGTCGTTACCACGACGAAAGGGTTCGACATTAATTTGTCTCTGTATCCAATTCTAAAATTTGACTAATAAAATTTTAATTAAAGTCATAGCCATTGGTGAAGTGAATCAACCAAATCTTCATAAAATTTAGTGCATACATATACTTTTTTTAAAGGGAAGCAATGCCACCATCATTGCGACACGGACGATAGACCACCGTGAATGTGTGAGATGTTATAAAAGATGAAGTAATTTCCCAGTTCTTATCAATAATCCGAGTTCATAAGGGAATTTCTAAGAAAATGTTTAATAATTAATAAAACACCCCAATTATAGATATTTTTTCCCAAAGTGAGGATATTTAAACTGCAGCTTGCCGTTTAGCCACCTTCGAATAGTCAATGAAGCGGACGACATCAAAGGACGGAATCATACTGGTGGCGACTGAACCAGAATCTGGATAGACATGTATATATATATTCATTTAAAAGCTTATGAGCACACGAATTCTCCAGGGAAAAAAGTGGGAAAAGCAACAACGGGGGGTAAGAGCAAATTAAGTGACACGATATTAGTGGAGTGAGGATGAATGTTGCCTGTCTTGTAACATTGACTTACCTCCTTCGCCGAGGTGGATAACTTGGCAGCAATAAATAATTCTCCACTGTCCTCGGAGAGGTGGAAAAGTTTTCCTGTGCCACTGACACTTGACTCTTCTGTCAGGGTGTATCGAATGTTAGCATTCACACCCGTATCCGCGTCTTTGGCCTGCAGCTTGGCAACTCGATATCCGATTGGTTCCAGGGCCGATATCCTTATCTTAAGAAAAATGCTTGCCTTCAAGATCTCCGTGCCATAAACTCCTTTGAATAGGTATAAGTAGATGATTTATGCTCCTCGTCTTCTGTAAAGTGCATATGCTTTAAGATTTTTTTACAGTTTTAGATCACGTTCTTGCCCAAAACCGCAAAATAAAATTCTAATTCGGGGTATCTACCTCATATTTTCCCTCAAACTGGATTTTGCTGTCTTTAGAGAAAATTTTTTAAAGATCGCATTCACAGTCTTCGTCTTGACTGGCTAATCCAATTCCAGTACTACGATTTCGCAGTGATCTTACCTCTGGGAGAGAGTTCGAGGTGGAATTGAGTCGAGGGAAGATGAAAATGGGAGAATGATCGTTAATGTCGGTAACTGTAATACGCACTTGGGCGGTGGAATTCAGGGCTTTACTGGGAGACCGTGGAGACGGCGAATCCCTCGCCACAACAGTTAGCAAGTACGATGATTTTGTTTCCCTGTCCAGCTGTTGCACCGCAAATATCGTTCCATTAGGAGAGATCTAGCAAGCGATGAAACACATATTTAAAATACCTTCAAACCATATCCAAATACCTTTCAACGTTCTGATGTGATGAGTCACCAGAGTTAAATGCGTTATTTGAAATGGAGGGGTTAGGTTTATATCAACCAACAGCAGTTGTGGAGGCTTTAAAACACTTTCACACATTAGAAATGGCCCAACATCTCTGAGGTAGAGGAATGTGGAAAGAGAGGATGCATTGCTCAAAGAGTGGTTTCTTCTGTCACAAGTAAATCACTATCCGCCTACCATATTAGAAGGGTAATGCAAATCCATTGGCTGATTTGCCTTTTAGCTGGTAGTTGTTTTTGTTTTCGTCTCAAAATTGCAATGACACAGCAGCGATGACAGTATTTGCCTCCTAAAAAGGAAGTCTTGACTGCCTGATTTCATGTAAAGCCAGCTTATTGCCAAAGTATTTTGTCATGAACTTTTAGGCCATCAGTGGGAGAGAGCAGGGTGATGAAAAACGAAGCCTCTTTTTCGATTGCGCCAGGTAAGTCAAAAAATGCAAGATGGGAATAAAAAATTGCTTCATGTTTGTCACTTTTTAGATTGGCGAAATTCACAGTGTGCTATACTAGATGACTCTACTTATAGGCCCACAGCTACTGAAATATGGAATGCGCTTGACGCAGAGCATCAACCAGACTTCAACAACACCAGACTAGCGAATCTTCACTATGTTGAAACCACCGAGACGTGTAGAGTAAATACGTCCTTGCCTTAGTGGCAAATCGGACCGGTGGATGATAGCTAATCCAGAAGATTAACCCCAGGGAATGCCAAGGCGGTGAAAGTGGTACACTTACCTGTGTTTCGACCACCACTTCGGTAGTAGGATGTTTCATTCATGTCACGACAGTTAATAGCTTACCATGTCTTACATGCATTTATAATGAAGTTTTATCCCTCTACACGTCGTACGCCCTTTGGCGTCCTCAAAGGGTACTTAGACTGCAGTTTTATGCAGACCGACATCATGCCAAAACCTTGCACATAAAAAGTTGGGTTGTACACCCTTCATACGTACTTTAGTTACCGAATTTTGCAATTTCTGAATGCTTAATGCAACTTACTTTGTACTAACAACTTTTTAAGGCAAATTCAATTCTAGTGCCACTTATAAAGTGCAATATTACTAATGGAATTGCCCAATTTAATTCGTTTTTATGTGATTAAATTACTCTTGCACGAAATGCTCCTAATTTTTAAATACGCTGATATAAAGCAACAATAATGCATATACCTTAAAAGGGGTGTCAGTCTTCTCGAGAAAGTAGTGAACCTCGGCATTGGATCCAGTGTCGCAATCAGTAGCTTGAACAGTGCCCACCTCCCTAGCGCTACGTCTATAAGGCTCTACATCCTCGTCAATTGAGAAGTGATAATTTGGAGAGCCAAATTTGGGAATGCAGTCATTCTCATCCTCAATCTCTATGCCCACCTCAGCTGATGTGCGATACACCGGTCGCCCTTTATCCTCTGCTACCACCTTGAGATGTGGTAAAGAAACAAATTATCATGAGCGAACTCAACAACTTGGTTATTCCGTCCACTCTACCACAGTCTAAATGGTGGGCAACTATTAAATTGGAAAGACATAAAAGGCAGCTTATTCATCAACTCTCGGACGGCAGCTTGCATTAAATGGACAGATGTAGAACGGAAGTGGATATCCACAATTTATCAAAAAGTTATTCTGACTCATGCCCGTGGATGAGGCGGAGTCTATGCGTAATATGGACAAAGGAGATGCTACCATTTATGCCAGGGGATTTCATTTGCAACATGTCCCAAGAAGGATGTCAGATGCTTAAGATACATTGTCGAACAAAAGCTGTCGCCTAGAGAGAACATTACCTAGGCGACAAAATGTAGATAGTGAAGAAGGAGGAGGATCGGGTTATCTTGCGAATTCCAAAACGTTTGTGACGAATTCACAAGGTGATTCCACTTTTCATCATCGTAAAAATTCATGGGATATTTAGATAAGCTGCTTCTGTGAAATAGGCTAACTGCAGTTATCCCAAAAAGATTAAGGTGCTATTTTAAAGCTATTTTAAAGAAGACGATGAAATGTGCGCATTTTTTGATAGAAATCAGGCCAATTTTTTGCAGTCAATTTCATAGAAGTCATGCCCTTACCAGTGAGAGAGGGAGAGAAGTGTGTGCTCACCGTAAATAGCAAGACCTGTGAATTAATTTCTCGATCAAGCATTTCATTGGCCCGAATTTCTCCCCTTTCGTTGATAGAGAAGAGGTGCTGATATCGGTCAGTTTTACATGCAAGTGAGAATTCCACTCGTCCATTTGTGCCCGCGTCATTGTCTTGCACAATCACTCTGCCCACCAATGTCCCAGGGGGTCTGTTTTCTTGGATCTATGAAAAACAAAACCCATACAAATAAACTATCCAGCTTTTGCTTGGCGTTATAAATTTATATATTGGGATTATTTTGTTCTTAATTCGTTCGAACAGCTAAACGAACTGTTTAGCTGATATCAGACAGATAAATTAAAGTAATATCTCTATGTGCCGCAGCGTAATTAGACAATAAAGGAGCACTTCCACTCCTAAATGGTATTAAACTAGAATTAGGAAGAATTGCGGGAAGGTATTGCCCATTGACAAAACTTTATGCGCATGACAATTATCTACAACAAGCATCTGACACATTAGTGGTTGTATAGTTTGCTCTTTCCCTAAGTAAGGTCAGAACAATAACAAAATAAAAATAGGAGTGAAATATCTGCTGAAAATTAAGAAATTTGTAAGCAGGGAATTAAAAGCATCAAAAGTTATCACAGCTCACTTTTGATATCGGTTACTAGCTCTAGGATACTGGCACGAATTTATAAAATCATTATGAGACCACAAAGAGAGGGTTGTGAGGGCTTTGCTCACTGTATTTCAGTTATGTACAATCACACCTTGAATTTCGTTACATCCCTCTAGGTGTTACGCCATCATCTGTTGAATTATGTATTCAAGCATGGGTAGCAGTCTCCTCAAGTATTTTTATTCAATTCTATTTATTTATCATATTCAATCCACCAGCGCTCACGTCATCGCTTGATAATGCATTCTGCTTTTAAATTCAATTTAAATTAGTCTATAAAGCACTCGATTCACAAATAGACTAGCAGTTTTGATATAAAGAACGATAAACAAGGAGTATCTTATTTCCTATGATATTATACAGCTGTTCTGAGTTTTTCGTAAGAGACAGCGCAGGACAACAATTTATGCGACTTTACACTCCCGTTAAACGGGCCGTTCATCTTAGCATCTTGAAATTGAGCTGCTTGTCGCTTATTTTGTATTGGCACGACAAAGTTAAAATGAATAGGACACATCCCCTCACCTTCATTATCATGGATAATAAATGTTAATAAATCATGGGGTAGCTATATTGTTTTTAGCCTCTTTGTTTCAGATGGCCTTTACCACTTGATGTACACTATACTTCAAATTTTATGAATAAACCATTAACATTCTGATAATGGGGAAGAAGTTTTCACACTGATACACATAAAGTGAGGTAAGTGACCTATTGACGTACTATTAATCGTGCAAAAACTTAAAATTGACATATTTTGTTGTTACCAAATTGAATTTTAAGTGCCTACGACGCAGTATTTAATGTAGAAGGGACGCGAACTCACCCATGCACTAATAAAGCGCGAATTCTGATTGGAGATACCATTCCTTCGGTGTAAAATTAACCTTAAATTACAAGCCTTATAATGTCCCATGGTAGAAAATATTTTCGAAAATGTGCCATGGTTACAACTTTAGTGTCTTCATAAAGGGTGGGTGGTCTATCGCAAATGAATGGGACAGCTTCCCCATTCCCCTCAGATTACACTAACAAGTAATGAAATAATTAAGTATCTGAAGTAAGTCGCTCTCATAGTTTCATTCTACCGAAAAGATAACTTAGTTTACATTGTTATCAAACACGTCCTGCTTAAAATTTTAGCTTTATCTGAAAAAACCTTATGGACATGATACCGATTGGAGGGGTGAAACCACCGCATGAACAAAGACTAGCTGTCACATTTTGGATGGAAAAACATCAAGTTTCTATGGAAGTAGACGGGAAGAGAAATATGCTTATGCAAAGATTGCTCAAACGCCCCAGACCTTAGAAAAAAATTGATTTTTATGCTACTTCTTTCTTAAGTTTGAACAAGTGATTCAAAAACATTTAACTATTGTGAATTGCTACCACTTGCCAAGTCAAGATGGCCAAGAGGGAACCCTTGAAATGCAGGATCTCATTCACTTTTGAGACTCATTAATAAATAATGAATATTTTTTTCTGTCAACTCCTAAAATATTTACTGAAAAAAGGAATCACTTCATCTGAGAGACACGCTTATGCTTGCAGCGAAATTTTTCACGAAGCATCGCAAACAGTAACCTTACACAACTCTCTCGCATGGAATAAAAATAAAGAGTTCACAATCAAATGCCTCCTTTTCTACGCCAATGTTTCCTTTTTAAATTTCCACAGCTGCTTCATCTATGCTGAACTGGAATGTGCGAATTCGTTTCACAACAGCCACCTGAAGGATGGGTAGGACCTGGAGATGACGAGTTCAGCTATTCGACGTGATAATTCGCGCTTTTACATCCGAAAGCGGGATTTATGTGTTTACGTCTGAAATAATTCACGTTGGATTGCAGACACCTTTGCGGTTATAGCTGGAATAACTTATTTTGCAGCAAGGGGTACAAAAATCTGGGGTTCAAATAAGCAGGATTTACCATCAAGGCAGTACATCAGGGCAACTGATTGACAGTTACGCCAGTGTCTAATACTTCCATCCATCCTGCAATCCATCTAGTCAGAACAAACCTGTCAGTCAATTTCATCGTTATTGGTTTCTCAGACCGATCATTTTCGTAGACAAAAAGCAACTTTTATACTTAAACAATAACACATACTAGCACTTGGAAAAAGGTAATAGATTTCACATCAAACCGTGGTAAGATCTAATAACCAATTATTTGTGGAATGGCTACCGCACAAATAAAAATCTGGCCTTTACTATCCGAGTTATGCGTCAAAACTGCGCATATTAACCAACACAATGGCCTAATCCGTGTTTTAAAACAAGGTGTCATACAATGTTG